AATTAGAGTTTTAATACTATCAGTAAATCAGTAGTATGATGAAGGACCTTGGTGAAAGCAAGGCTGTGTGAAATTGCATAAAAACGTGAGTTCTAGTCGTATTATTGTGAGACGATTCTACTGCCAGTCCTCCATCGCCTTAAACGAAATAGGGTGAATACAGAACAACTTTATATTTCATATTTAATTAGATTTTTGATACTATCAGTAAATCATTAGTATGATATGTATTCACCTAGTTTCTTTCAAAGTGATGAAGAACTTTTGTCAAAACAAGGCTGTGTGAAATTGCATGAAAACGTCAGCTCAAGTCGCATTATTGTGATACAATTCAACCGTAAGTCCTTAATTTCTTTAAACTTAATAGGGTGAAGACAGAACAACTTTATCTTTCATATTTAAGTTGAGTTTCGATACTATCAGTAGATCAGTAGTATGATATGTATTCACTCAGTTTCGTTTAAGGTGATGAAGGACTTTTGTGGAAGCAAGGCTGTGTGAAATTGCATGGAAAGGTCAGCTTGAGTCACATTATTGTGAGACAATTCTACTGCCAGTCCTTCATCTCCTTAAACGAAATATGGTGAAACAGAACAACTTTATTTTTCATATTTAATTAGAATTTCGATACCGCCACTAAATCAGTAGTATGATATGTATTCACTCAGTTTTGTTTAAAGTGATGAAGTACATTTGTGAATTCAAGGCTCTGTGAAATTGCATGGAAACCTCAGCTCAAGTCACATTATTGTGATACAATTCTACTGCCAGTCCTTTATCAGCCTAAGCGAAATAGGGTGATACAGAACAATTTTATCTTTCATATTTAAGTGGGGTTTCGATACTATCAGTAATTCAGTAGTATGATATGTATGCATAAAAAGATACAGAGAGAGAGAGAGACAAAGAGAGGGTATAAGAGGCCGGACGCACTGTGGAAGCGCTTGCAGCCGACCGGCTTCTTCAGGGCTCCGGTGGGCTTCTCGGCGCCGCCTCTGCTGAAGAAGCATCCGTGCCAGCCGATGCTGGCCGGG